AACATCCAAGAAAGAATGATATATTGATATATATACAATTATCTTTTTTTTGCGAGTATCAAAAACTAAATTTTAAAGAAGCACGTGACATGATAACAATAATTGTGGCTGTCAAATTTTGACAAATTTCATGGGTGGTTGACCAGCAAAATATGAAGGATCATCAACACTAGAATTTTTAGAATACTTCGATAAAGAGGGAGCTGTTTCGCCCAGTTTACACCGTCTTGGCCCATATTTGAAGGTCATATTCTATCTTGGGTCTTAATGTCCCGTGGGTCTAATAGGTTTCAGCTTCGCCTTATTTAGAAACTTGGCATTTCGGCGATAATTAATTTTGTCCTTGTTTAGAATAGTTTGTATTCAAGCTCGACTTACTTCCAAAAAGTTGTCCCTCCGAGAGCAAGCCAACTTCCCCACACCAGATCCTTTCGTCCTTTCAAATTCCTCAACCACTAATTTGATTATCTCTGATGACTTTAACGTTCGACGCCCCTCGTAATACAGTGCTTTGTCACCATGGTCCTCTTTGACTGATATCCTTCTGCTGGCTCTCCATTATCGCACATCACTCCCGTTAGTTCTTTCACTGGTGGTTGCGCCTTGCCCTCAACAGGGTGGAGCAGGACTTCATAAACGTTGTCTGGTAAAACAGAGGGTTTCTTGTTCCCTTCGAAGTTTTTCTGATCTTTATAGACCACAGACCTGTCCCACAATAATGCAATTAATGCTAAAACCATAAAAGCTAAAACAATAAATCTCATCTCGAATCAATGCAAGTATTGTGTACTACAATCTTATTTATTTATTTATTTAGCTTCGCCTAACTAGAATACAATTTGTAAGAAAAGAATACAAAAATTATTAGGCAGGGAGACCAACACAGCCTAGCTAATTACAGCGTATCCCTTGTTAATTAATTATATAAAAAAATACTTAATAACTAAATCTACTAATATATAAGCAGAAAACTTAGGAGGAAACAAAATGGAAGTCCAAATTGCTAGAAGCAGCACGTCTGCGGGCACAGGAGAGACCTCGCTGTGTTGCACCTAAGACAGATTGTTCTCCAGGTTCTAGTGTCGTCAACGTCATAGAGGTTCAGAGCCTTTTTGTACTATTTAAGTAATAAACTTTTAAAAGAGGCTAGAGAGATGTGATTTTTGCGTAGCTCAGCGGGAAGAACATTCCATGTGCGGCACGCGCGTATGAGAAATGAACGTCGATATGTAACAGTTCTACTTCGCTTAGGAATATAAGTAATAGCACTGCTGCTTGATGACCTAGTAGATCTTGTAAATTGCCTGCTTACAGGTAAAGCTTTACTATCTATGAAAACGAAGTTATTAACAGCTTTGTAGAAAAAGACTGTATCCAAAAATTCATGCCAGTATGAGATGGGCAATAGATGTGTTAGTTGGAGGGTCTTATAGGTGACATCGCAACGGAAAGGGAGCTTCAACATTAGTTTTGTTGCACAGCGCTGCACGTTTTCAACTCACTTTAGTAGGCACCGGACGATAGAAAGGTACAGTGTACGATGCGTTTGGGTGCTTGGATGTACCAAGAAACTCGGCGCACAAACCTGAGGAGTTTGTTGGCTTTCGCAAACTGTTCAGATACTTGTTTTTCCGAGGCAAGATTGCTTGACACCCGCACACCAAGGTCTTTCTCTGTGTCGCAAGATTCCAAAGGCGTTTCGTTGATAGTATAGGTAGGTTGTACAGGTGATTTTTTGCTGGTGATGCACTGGTATTTACACTTGGACTGATTAAATATGAGCCCGGATGATTCGGACCAACTGACAAGATTGTTAAGGTCGGATTGCAAGGTGTTACAGTCTGTGATGGAATCGATGCTCTTGAAAATCTTAGTATCATCGGCGTAACAGGCACCTCTGGAGGTCTTAAGAACGTTTGATAGATCGTCCACAAACATCAGAAACAGTATCGGCCCTAGTAGGGACCCTTGTGGTACCCCGGATGTAACCGGCAATTCTCGGGAAATAGCTCCGAGAACTGTAACCTGTTGCTTGCGTCCCTGTAAGTATGAACAGAACCAGTCGTCAGATCAATCGATCTAAAGCTCAAAGAAAACTGCAGGAATACCTCACAGGCTCGTGAAATGATTTTCAGTCGGATCTGCACTTATTACTATTTTCATTATCGCTAATAAAAACTTCGTTGCTATATGAACTCAAGAATTTTTTTCACAGTCAGTTCAACTAATCGATACAACGTTTTTGGGCAAATCTTTTGTGTTACTGCCAGCTATTTTGAACTCGGCTCACACGATTATTTTTACTCACATCTCAGTGAAAGGAGGGGCACAAGTTTTTGTGCGAGTTTTCGAGGACCGGGACATCATTTACAACCTTCAACATAAACAACCATTTTAATGTTCATCATATCTCACTCGTGTGACTGTTTTCAGCCTCCTATGAAACGTAATCGAGTAGCTAGTATGGGCTAAAAAGACCTGTTGCTTATTTGGAATGAATTTTCAGTGAGCTCGTTCAGTGCGATTACTTTGCTTAAGGTTTTGCATTCTCAACTTGCCTGCAAAGCAAGGTTCCAGTAGGCGAGAATGAAAGAAGAGGATAATATTGTCCTAAAATAAGTAATGGATCCATGGTCTTGGCAACTTATTGATTGCTGGTTCTTTTATTTGGCCCCTCGTTTGATACCCTAAGTCAGTCACCTAGATGTTCTTGTGCATGATGCATGCAACTGTCAGTGAGTTCAATTGTTGATGACATGCTCGAGATTTGCCGTAAACGTCTGTTCTGTGATTTGCAATCTGAGCCTGTGATTTGTGATGATGTGCTGATCAGCAGCTTCTTTGCATTTACACCTATTAAATAGAAGAAGTCATTGAGTATATGATTTGATGCAGACCCATGCAATACCTTATTCGTTTATCGGATTTGTTGCATGCATTTAAAGATCAGGAGAACACAATTGTCCCAATTATGTTCTCTTGAGTAGAAAAATTATTTTGTCCATATTCATATAATCACGAAGTTATTCGATAATAATTCTCTAAAGTGCTGTCACAAGGTCCGAATTAGCAAACAACACGTGCATGCTAACAAGGTCTATTTAGGCAAGGAAAGAAATAATG